GTTCCAAGCTTTGGAACATATGCCTTCTTCCCGTCATATGTCGTGAGCAGCCAGAGTCCAGGTACCATGATTGGTGTTTTTGCTTTGCTGCTAAAGATATCTGCCACATGTATTATTTTATCCTTAGGTACCCACATTTTCTGGGTCCTGATTTGTTAGTTTTACCAAAACTCTGGTTGAATTTTGGTTTGACAGAGTAATCACTACTTGTATATTTTATGTCATGTGTGTTCCCATATATAAAGTGTGAATCAAGTGGAGTACGTTTTATGACTAAATCCATGGAATTTTTTGGTGTAGGTACCTTACCTTGATATCCTATCCCTTTTCTGCCATTTCTGCTAACTCCATAGATCATTGAAGCCATTTTGCTTTTGTCTATGTTTTTAGCTAGAAACTTCTGAAAGTTGTGATCATACTCCTTGATGATCTCATCAGCATTGCTGGGAGTTTCAGGGATTGTTTCCTTCTGGAAGTTTTGCAATTGCTTTTCTAATTTTAAAATTTTATCTTTTAACTCAGAATTCTCCAATTTGAGACTCTCAGTCTTATCAGAGTCAGAAGCAAGATTCCTTTTCAGGTTTCTGAATTTGACTCTGATCTGCTGATATCTTTCCAGAATTTCATTAAGGCTTTCAGATAGTTCAGCCTTAGTAAAGTTTATAGTAAAGTCAGGGAATACCTCTTCTGTATCTGATTCAGATTCTGACTCAGAAGCTTCATTGTCTTCTGTTATGTTTGCCATGAGAGCTATGTTTGCTCTTTCATCATCTGATTCAGAGTCAGCTTCAGATGTGTCAGAATCATCCCATATAGCCATGAGACTTTTCTTATTTTCCTTACCAAACTTCTTTTTGGGCTTCTCCTTCTGAAGCTTTGGGAAATCACTTTTGTAGTGCCCTTGCTCGTTACATTCATAGCAAATGATGTCTTTGTTGTTTGGCTTTCTGTTTCCTGAAGAGCCTTCAGATCTTCTGTGTCCAGAGGAGGATTCTGACCTTCTATATTTGGAGAAAGATTCATTCTGATTTTCTGATCTTCTGGGATTCCTGAACTTCCTTTGCCTATGCTTCCACAATTGGTTCACCCTTCTGGAGAGGAGAGACAGTTCATCTTCTTCTGATGAGGACCCATCAGAGGTTTCTTCCATAGCCTGCAAAACTTTGGAGTCAGATTTTCTGTTAGATTTTAAAGCTAATGGCTTACCTTGCTTTTGAGGTTCATCTGCTTCTAGCTCTATCTCGTGACTTCTGAGGGAGCTGACAAGTTCCTCCAGAGAGATTTTGTTGAGATCCTTGGCTAGCTTAAGCGCTATGGCCATTGACCTCTATTGTTTTGGCAAGCTTCTGATGATCTTCTTAACGTGATCAACAGTAGAATACCCTTTGTCAAGAACTTTTAGACCAACAACAAGAATTTGAAATCTTGAAAACATAGTTTCTATTGATTCACTCTCTTCCATCTTAAATGCCTCATACTTCTGAATGAGTGCAAGGGCTTTGGTTTCTTTGACTTGAATGTTGCCTTCATGCGTCATTCTCAGAGAGTCAAACATATTCTTTACAGTGTCTCTGTTTGATATCTTCTCATATTCTGAATAAGAGATGGCGCTGAGAAGAATTGTTATGGCCTTGTGATGATTTCTAAACTCACGCTTTTGCTGATCAGACATCGTTTTCCTGTCAATCTTCTGACCACTTCCATCCACTGGGTGCGTGTATCCACCAGTCACCATGTCCCACAGATCAGCATCATGGGCCAGAAAGAAACTCTCAATTCTGTCTTTCCAGTAGTCAAAGTTCTCTCCATCAAAGACTGGAGGTTTGCCACTGAATTTGTCTCTTTCTTCATTGTTGTCATTGCTGATGTTTTGATTTGGTCCTGCCATTGTGTTTTTCTGACGCTGGATCTTGTACTGACACAATTAAGTGTTATAAGCTCAGAACCAGGCGCTCTGATGCCAATTGAAGATGTGAAAAACACAAGAAAGGGGGTTGAATTGTAAAACTTAAAACAAATGCTTAGACAACACAGTATTTTTATCCTGGTTCGTTTGATCTCAAACTACTCCAGTCCACCCGTCAAGGTGATTTCGCCTCTCTCCAACGAGGTCTTAATCCACTATATTCAAAGGATTACAACAGCTACTTTAACAACTGTTAAAGCCTTCTTGAGTATAACCACAAACCGGTTTATCTCAAGGAAATCTTTTACAAATAATTTGAACAATGATGTGTTAACGTTTTCTAATAAAACAATATATCACAACTGTGATAATTACACAATTTAAGCTTGGAATAAACTGAATTTGCTAAAGCGTTTGAGTAAGCGTGGTTTTGAAAGCTTGGCAAATTATGTGTGTGCATGCGTGCGTCTTTTCTCAAGCAGACTTGTTTATATAGCCACGACAAAGATACGTTGTCCATAAAGCACTTTTACTGATAATAACGCACTTTCCTTTTGAAGAAGATCTTGTCTGAATAAAGCCGTTAGCAATTAATTCTGTCTTGAATACTTAATAACGCTTCAGAGTCTTCTTTGCTTATGGTAACGCTTCAGAGTGTTCTTTGCTTTACCTTATGATAACGCTTCAGAGTGCTGATGACTTGGTAAAGATCTTTGATCAGAGTCAGAGTGTATATGTTTATGCGCAGATTCTGGTCATCAAGCTTCAGCGTATGATCTGGTAGCTTCAGCGTGTAGCACATGTTACTGATCTTCTGATGCTTCTGATGTTGATGCTGATTTCATCAGAACTTCTGTATATACAAAACATAATTTTAAGAAGCATATTTGTCTTATATATAAATCTTACAATTTATTTATTCTTTGTATTTTGTTATCATCAAAACTCTAATTAAGGGTTGTAGAATCAAACTATGTTCTAACAGTATCTACCTATGAAAACACCGCATTAAATTCAAATTTGTTGAACCTGCAAAGTACAAATATGTATAAAAAAGGATTAAAAGTGTTTGTTCACCGACTGCAACGTCATTACTGATAGTGTCAACTAATAAACTGCTGTCATAACCTGCACCAACTACAAAAAAAAAATTAAACCACTCTAAAACCACATAAAATAATGCTACAAACACTTGAATATATAGAGCTTCCAGCAAGAGAAAAAATCGGGAACACCGACGAAGCTGAGCTCCCAAGCTACTTTGAACCATAAAGCACAAAACTGCAAAAACCACCAAGCAGTTAACTTTGACTAATACAATCGACAAAGATGAACCAGAAGAGTTCACATGTGATATAAGTAGCTATCACCCAATTGAAGAGTCTTGTATTTCTCACCTTCATGTCTCAAAAACTATAAGCTTGCTAACACAACATAGATAATGAAAATACAACTAAGCTACTGATTAACAAAAGCAGTAGTGTCAACAAAAACATTATCAGTTATTTCACTGTTTGACTTTTTTGCCTAAGTTTATGTTATCAGAAACTAAATATTTCTTTACAGTGCACAACAGATCAATCCATGCCTTTCGCATCGCCAAAATTACATGTCTTCCAGAAACGTGAAACCCCTTTAGATAGTCACTTTCACCGTCGCCGAAAAACATTGCGTCATTCTTGACGCAATTCCTGTAAACATTTATAACTACGAAAATCAGTAGCAAACTGTAACTCTCAACTTAAAAGCAAATATACCAATGAAAAGAATATAAAATCTAAATTAAAACACAAAAAACTAAAACCTAAATCACAAAACAAAACACCGTCAATGATAACCATTACGAAGAAGCATATAAAACACAAAGAAAAAGAGGGGGAAGAAGGAAGAAGAAGAGGTAGTGAGATTGTTGATAACATATCTGAATTTGTTTTTGAAATCATAAATGGATGTCACATATTATCGTTTGTTTCAATTTGATTTCAATAAGAAATAAAGGAAGAAGGAAGAAGAAAAAGAGAAAGAAGGAAGAAAATCAGAGGTAGAAGGAAGAAAAAGAAGAATGTTGTGCAAGAGAAAAAAATAAAGATGAAGATGAGTCAGAATAAGAGTTAATAGGAAAAAACTAACATATAAAATATTTTAACATAGACAGACGTGACTCATTATAGAAGCATGAAGGACAATTTAAAATTTTCCAAACTCCAAATACGGTTAAATAAAAAATAATAATAAAAGATGCCCGAACAAAAAAAATAAAAAAATAAAAAATACAATATATAAATTATCAAATATAATTTAGAGGGTAACAAGTTAAAAGCTCTCCAAATAAACTTTGATAAACAGATAGCCCATACAACACCCATCAATAGGACCTGAAAAAAGAAAAAAAAGTCCATAGTTAAGCCAGGTGCTCCAACCGCCTAACCGGCGCGTGCAAAGTCTTTCCGGGAACTGGGCCGTCCCCGGTTTAGTTCATCTAGCAAGTTTACACCACGCGCAAAACATTCACCTACGAGAACATTTCAAATTTTCATAAAAGAAATTCCGCGCCACAAAAGCCTCTTTCCCTTCACCTGCCGCGTTAACAACACCACCCAAACCAAACAACACCTCATTAGTCCGTGCATGACACGCTCCAAACAGTAGCGTGAAAACACATCTTTAAAATATGTTTCTCATATTAGATTTCGCAGTACACCCCCAGACGCGTGCGGTTTCACCGTTCTACAGACGAACCCTCTCCGATCCCGCACACCTCTGACGCGATAAGAGGATATACCGTTTTAGAGAGAGAAAGAGAGAAACAGTTCGAAGAGTTCTAGAGAGAGAAAGCGTGTCTGGATTCCCGAGAAGATAGAGAAAGAACGTGTTATAGATCTGAACGGAGTGAAGGTAACTCTACTCTGCGTGTTTTGTTCTCCGTTTTTTTGAACTTGATCGGTGAAAACCCCTAACCCTAACCCTAACGCTTTTAGGTTTTTCTTACCGGATTTTATTCGTTTGATTTTGGTTCCGTTAAACCCTAGATTCGGATTCTAGGGTTTAGAATTGTTGTTTGGTTAGGGTGAATAAGAATTAGGGTTTTGAATGAATGGCTTCGGGGCTTATAGTTAGAGATGAGGGAGTTAGAGAGATACAGAGATACTCGGAGAACAACGTGTACAGGAGAAAAACCTTCAAAGGTTCAAAGAATAAAGTTAACGATGTTCCTCGTGCTAGTTCTTCATCTGCTGCTACCACCACAGTCACTGCTGATGGAACGAAGGAGAACGGAAACAATAATAATGTTTCTGTTCAGCAGCCGGATCGGGTTACGGCTCCCGAGGATGTGAATTCGCCTCGTCCTGTAGTAAATTCTAGGTTGGATGTGGTTTCTGAAGACTTGTCTAGTTTGAATTGTCGGCAGGATGAACATTTCACCCTTGACGTTCAGCTGGAAGATGCTCCTGGTTTGCTAGAACCGTCTTTGAGGAACTGTGGTAGTAAGCAGGGGGTGGAGAATGGTGTTAATGATGGTCTGACTTTGCGGTCGAAGCAGCAGACACGGGAGATTAGGAGGAGGCTTGAGAGCAAGCTTGAAACGGTGAGATCTTTGGTGAATAGGATTGAGGAGAAGCAAGGGATGGTTGGGATGTATGGTGGTAATTTGAATATGTCGGTGGGTTGGGATCCTCATATGGTTAATAATGGCGGTGGAGCTAAGCGCACTCACTCTGAGGTAGTATGTGTAGGTGTTCCGAGAGAGCCTACTAGGCCTTTACGCCAGTTAAGTGTGATGGTGTTAGAGAATAGTCAAGGGGTTAGTGAAATTATTGAAAGGGAGAAGAGAACACCCAAGGCAAACCAGTTCTATTGCAATTCAGAATTCTTGCTTGCAAAAGATAAGTTTCCGCCTGCAGAGAGTAACAAGAAGTCAAGATTGAATGGAAAGAAGCATGGCAGGGGAGAAATGGGACACGGGCTTGGGGTAGTATCAAAATATTTGAAGAGCTGTAGCTCATTGCTTGAAAAGTTGATGAAACACAAGCATGGTTGGGTGTTCAATAAACCAGTTGATGTTGAAGGTCTTGGTTTGCATGATTATTTTATTATCATCTCACATCCAATGGACTTGGGTACTGTGAAGTCGAGGCTGAACAAGAATTGGTACAAATCTCCCAAGGAGTTTGCGGAGGATGTGAGACTTACTTTTCGTAATGCCATGACATATAATCCTAAAGGACAAGACGTTCATATAATGGCGGAGGAGCTATTAACATTGTTTGACGAAAGGTGGGCTATTATAGAGGCAAATTACAATCATGAAATGAGGTATATCATGGATTATGGGCCAGCTGTTTCTGCACCTTCGCCTCTGTCTAGAAAGACTCCTGCTTTCCGGCCACCACCTCTTGACATGAGAAGGATTCTGGACCGGGCAGAATCAATGACAAAACCTCCAAAACCCATGAACTTTACTCGTTCAGCTCGAACTCCTGCTCCCAAAAAGCCTAAAGCTAATGATCTTCATAAAAGAGACATGACATATGAAGAGAAGCAAAAACTTAGCATGCATCTTCAGAATCTACCTTCTGATAAACTAGATGCTATTGTACAGATCATGAAGAAACAAAATTCAGCACTTTCCCAACATGATGATGAAATTGAAGTGGACATTGATAGTGTGGATGCAGAGATTCTTTGGGAGCTTGATAGATTTGTTACCAACTATAAGAAAAGTTTGAGCAAATACAAGAGGAAGGCTGAACTTGCTATTCAAGCTAGAGCTGAGGCTGAGCGAATGGCCGAGCAGAGGGTAAAATTATCAATTTCAACTTTTTAATATCCCGTGTCTTCTTTGGCAAACAATTGTTAGTAATTGAGTTCATTTAATACTTCCTGTAGAGCCAAGCACAACACGATATTGTTGAGGTCCCTAGAGAAAAACAAGCAGGTATGTCAGCTTGTGAAATATATATTTTTTCTCTTATCATCTTTTCATCAATTAAATTAATTGAAATATTTTGTCTGCTTGTTTCTGAGCAGAGGAAAGAAATGCTCCCCCATCCTTGCCCGTGCAAGGGGAAATTCAAGTGGATAATGGGAGTAAGACAAGTAGCTCAAGCAGCTCAAGCAGTGATTCTGGCTCTTCATCAAGTGGTATATTAATTAATTATTTCCAAGATGTCTGTCCCATATTCATGGTTCTGGAAGGTCACCTTGGCTTATTCTTTTATTCAAATGTAAAGTTTGATATTTACTTGCTTTTGCAGATTCTGATAGTGACAGCTCCTCAGCGTCTGGGTCTGATGCAAGGTCACCGTGAACCTGAATACTTCCCGTGAGGTAAAATTACAAACTCCAAATTTCTATCTCATTTTATGTTCTTGGTTTCTTGTATATTTTCTGTTTTGAATTGTATGTGATTATCTTTGATTTCATAGAGGTACATATGTGTGATCTTTCAAGATGACTTCTTTTAACTTTAATTCATGATTGTGTTGTTCGTTAATGAGTAATACTTGACCATGAGATGCGTGGTTGACTGCATTTCTGTTTTTCTAGTGCACCAGGCTCATTATATATTTACTGTTTACTTAGCCACATCTGAATGACCAGTTTACATATTGGAAATTTAAGATAGTCATGTGATACAGGTTTAATAATTGAGATCGACATTTCTGCTTCTATGGCTTGTGGCCAGTGTTGTGGTTTTAGATCTTTTTTCGACTCCATATTGTGCAGTTTTATTAGAATTAGAGAATATTTGATGCTAGCCTCTATTAAATTTGATGCTTATTCATTTTGACTTCCTTTCTCTTGTGCTAGTTTTTAGTTAAACAGTGTTGATATAGTCTCTTGAAGGTTTGTCCTTTTAAAATATCAATTCATTAAATGTGAAATCATATGCTTTTACGGGACTGCTATACTGTGCACATTTGTTGGCATAGCCCGCACTATTCAAGATGTGATATTGTTTAAGTTTCTTTTATGGGTAATTGTCCAAGGAATTGTGATTTCCACACTTTCAAATCTCCGATAGCTGAAGTTGTTTAATTGGTATATGCATGAGTGTGTGTATTGTTACTGAGCCGTGCTGACTGATGTGCATCTCAGCTGTCCAATATAAGTGTAGTTGATGTTAGCTTATAATAAAGAGATTAGTGGAAGATTGCACTGTTAAAATATCAAACAAATAACATCCATCTGAAACTTCTTGAAGTATATTCTCTTGAAAAGCAACTAATGGTAGTGTGAGAAATGAAAACCATAGTTACTAATCTCAGATAGCTGCATGGAGTGACTGATCTAGTAGAATACACTATTATGGATAGCAGACACAGAGGGGTTGCTGTTATTCTATCTTCTATGGAAAATAACTTATATTTCATGACCTATATAAATAGTCGTTATACTCAAGAAGAACGTACTAGAAGATAGCAATAAAGAGCTATGTGTTGCTATTTCAGTGTTGTTGGGAGGATGATGCATTGTCACTTTAATGAAGAGGATAACAAATAGTCAGGGACAGAGTTGTTAATCCCGTCCGCTACGGCCACTATCGCGGCGCACCATAGCGGTGCGGCACCCACCCGCGCGCGTACATGGGTGCGGTGGCGGAGATTGAAAAGCAGTCGCTATTCGCGCGAAACCGGGTCACGGGTTTATCCTGGGTCTAGCGGATCCTGTTTTTTTTTTATATTTTTTTAAAAAAGTTTTTCTGGACAAAATCGAAGAAGTCGTGAAGGATCCAGATGTGGAAGAGAGAGAGATGTGGACAACACTTGGAGGCCGGAAAACAACGTCCGCTGACTAGAAAGTGGTCAAAGGTTGGGCTACACACAACTTCTGTGGCATAAGGACAGTCTATATGAAGGAAGGATGCTTCCTTTGTGAGAAAGGGAGTGTTGGCTGATGGTTTTTTCCTTTCCTTGAAGCCTGAATGCTACAAAAACCCCAAACTCCCAACTTTTCCTTTTCCTTGGATAAAAGGAGAATGAGGAATGGGAAATGGAAAAAATGACAGTCCTCCAATTTGAATAGGGGGCTTGGTTTTTCTTTATAATACGAATACGAAATCCCCCTAAAATGGGGGAACTAAAATTGTATTGAAAGAGTAATTTGGAGAATTTTAGAGAGTTTGGGTAAATTCTTCAAATTCAAACTACATTGTTATAATATTTTCATAACTAAAAATATATTAATGATAAACTTTCATTTATCATTCTTTACAGAAAAATATTCCCAAAAAATGTGAAGATTTCTTTATCTTTTCTTTTCCCCTCCCTCCGAAGCCTTCTCCCCTCCAAACTTGCAAACAAAGTCTTATACACTAGCAACCAACTTTGATACAAATTGATGAAAATCCAAGCATTTGGAAAATTCTCCCTTAAAAGCTAGCTATCAAGGGTAGAACCAACCCACTTAAATACACTAAAGTAAAGAGCATCCCAATCGAATACCTCACAATTCTTTGTATAATTTTGTCGCAGGAAGTAGAACTAACCGTATTTATGTAGGAACTGTTAGGGATGCATAATTAAAGATTACTTGGGTAGTAGTAGTAGAAGTAACGGTAATGCGTTTTTTATTTTTTTTCTGTTCATTTTGTGTTGTGTTTTTTCACTACCCTTACTAGAGCTGTTGAATTTGTCACTGATTTTGAAATGCTGGTTTCTTTTATTTGTTAATAAATTACTATACATACCTAATGGTAAGTTAGTTTGCTTTGCTTATTAAGTTGTGTCTAACTTGCATTTTTTGTGTTCTAATTTTAACTAGATGAACAGAAATGCATTAGCATAACTATATTGATGGCTATTTACTTATTGTCTGTATCTCATAATTATTTTCAGAGCTTCCAAAAGGAATTACTATTCTTAAGAATTTTCCTTGTAAATTTTGCTCATTATTGCACTTTCATACAATGCATTAATTTACATGGATGCTAAAGTAGTTTTGTTTTCATTGCTGGCCCAATCTTGTTGAAATTGTAAATATTCATGTGATAATTATTAATTGTCTGGATTTCTTATTTTAACAATGTAACTTTGTGCTGGAACTCTCCTATTTATGTATTTTAAAAATATGATGTTACTCCTAAAAAGTGTGAACTAACTGCTCGTTTTTCTTCTTTCCATTTTCATGTGGCAGATGTCAGATACATAGATTAGATAGTGTTGCAATGCTTGTCTAGTTGATTCTTTTGAAGCTTCCAGATTATGGTTATGAATTTAGCATTTGGTTTGTAGAGAAAGCTTCTGAAGGCCACCTTTGATTTCCTGCTGTGTGCGGTACAGGATCTTTATTTCTCATTTGATTAGATTTGTAATTCTTTGCTATTTATGATTTTATTTGTGATAGCAGGCTCCTGTATAATATTTGGTAGAATGTGAAGATAATTAGATAGTTTTCTGTAGGAGTGTACATCGATTGCTAACTACTGTTACTAATGAAGTTCCAAGTTCCATTGATGAATTGTTATTATTTTGTGCTAGCAGATTTAGGGTTCTTGGTGTTAAAGCAAGATATAATGGATTTTGTATCAATTTGGTTAGTACTGATGTAGGGAGGGGCATTTTGGGTGGAGTTAGTTTTCATCTACGGTTTTGAGAAATCTACTAAATAATTCAGCTGCGTTTCTATCCTAAGTGATGTTTACCACTGTTGTATAATGTTGATCACGGATTAGTGAAAACAAGAATAGCCACTGAGAATTTTATCGGGTCGAGTCGCGGTTCAGTACGCTTTCTTTAAGACGTTTCGCCGGATGCCAACAAAGTGCAAGGCAGTCGATAATAGGCGACGTCTCCAGGATAAAACAGTCCGTTCGAATAAAATACGATTATCACTTGCACTGTGATAAATCGTTCGATGAATAACACCTTCTGATGGTGTAGAAACCACTCGTAGTATCTGGCAAGAAGCAGTCGAAAAAACAGAAAAGAAAAAAAAACTTGAGATGAAGCAGAGTAGAGAGAGAAGAGAGAATTCGAGATATGGAATTCTGGGGTCATTTGCAAATGAAATAAGCACGGATCCAACAAAACGGTTCGAAAAAGTAGGAAGAACGTGGGAGAGGGTGGAATTGGCCCAGTCAAAAGTGACCGTTATTGCTTGGTCAGTCATGCGTTTTGACTCTTGGAAGGCAAGTAATTGACACGTCACTAATTCCGTAATTAATTAATATTAAATATTAATTAATTTCCACTATTTTTAATTAATTAATGCTAATTAATTCCACCGAATTAATTAATTATTAATAATCATTAATAATTAATTTTTCACCAAAATCCGGTTCAAAAAGTTAATTCATCTAGACCGAACCGAGCCGAGTCGGACGGCGGCGCACGCGCGTGTGTCTAGATGACTTAGTGGTGTGTCCTCACTCCTTAACAAAATTGGGGTGCCCCTTGGGGCCCAACTCAAGTGTCCAAGTTGGAGTATTTATGCACTACTAGAAGTTGTGTTCTCTCCAATGTGGGACTAAAATGAATCCTTTCAAATTCACTCACAAACTAGTTCATTCATGTGCTCATTTATTGCCCATTTAATGTCAATGAATCATTCCAATTCCCAATCCAAGTTATCATCATTCCAAGATTTCCAACATATAATCAAGGTTATTTGTGAATTTAAGTACAACTTATACCAGGCATTATCACTAGAATTAATTCCTTCAAGGACGCTCGAAGAGTTCAGGAGTATAATTTTTCTTTCATTGGCTCAACTGCACCTCGTATTGTTCCTTGTGTTGGTTAACGATTGCAGTGCATTGTATTATGCACGGTTGTATTATTTAAACATTAGATTTGGGGTATTGTATCTCTCACTTGTTTTTTTAACCTGCATTAAAATTTTGATAGTACCTCAGTGTCACAGCTCACAACAAAGTAAACTTGTAAATGTCTCAATTTGTTTTACAAGCAATTTTTTTAGGGTATTAATAAGAACATTCTTTTTCTTTATGTACCAGTCAATCAAAAGACTATAGCTGGAATCATTATCTGCTATTTTCCTAGCTATTATAATGTAAATTCTATAAATACTTTTACAAAATCAATTTTATGAATAAAATCATGTCAATATCACTTTTTTTTTAACCAAAAATGATATATATTAATTCAAAAGACAGTAAAACAACCAAGGCAATCTCAACAGATTCAGCCATCTAAATCTACAAAAATGCTAAATCATTAATCTAGCAATATTAAGCCTAATCTTCCTATTTCCCTAGCATCTATACACTATACAATCAATAATTCTCTACCGAGTTGTTTTTATAAGTAGTATTATAAAAAATAGTAGCATTCCTAAGAAGCTAAG